TATGCTGAATGAGAATATTAAGTCACGTGATAGAACTAGTCGCTGCGGTAAACCCAACGTTTTCAGTTCCTCTTCTTCTTCATCGTGATTCGGCTCATGTTTTGGACCAGGGAGGGTCAGGTTCAGCGTAGACTTCTTCCTCCCTCTCTGGAATTGTTATATTGTTTGCGCTGTTACTGAATCCTAGGCAATAATCCTTCTTGTTGCATTACTCATAGTATGTTAAATTTTGTCCATTGTCCGCATTTTCAATTGACATGCCCTTCTCGTGCCACGTCCAATTCATGGGGTAATATTAACTTGTATATTTTTACTAGTTTCACTTATGTATGATCGCACTATTTCTCCGTGTTCAAAAAACAGTTTCACTTAGCAGTCATATACACGCTGACATAATCCTATTTTTACATGCAAAACCCTTTTAAAATGGAGCTACGTTTGTGTCTATGATTCAGTTAGCCTGTTTGTCCTGTAAGATTCTTATTTATGATGTTTAGAGAGGAGAGGTACTTAGTGTTCGATTCATCGTGTATTATGTTACTCTCTAGTTTACTCATCAGTTCATTTTTATTAATATTCTTCTTATAATGTTGAAGCGAGTTATCCAGGAGTCTGTCTGATAAAGTTGGCATGTTTGAATAGTTGTGTAGAAATTCTGAATTTGTTGATCGTGGAACTCTATATGCTTTCGTTAAAATATAGTTTTGTATTTGCTGTAGTTTGTTGATGTTTGTTTTTGATACATTTATCCACGTTATACAGCCATATTCTACGACTGATCTTATGTATGTTCTGTAAATTTTTGATATATATTTTGATGAAGCTCCTTGTTTGTTTCCAGTGAGGCTCCTAACGTAACTCGCTCTTTATCAAATTCTGGTTTTGATGGTACTAATGTGTCATATCCAGTTTAATTTTGAGTCAAATGCAATCCCTAAGAATTTTGCTGATGTTCCCACCTGTAAGAGAGTTTCGTTTAGATATATCTGTGGTATTAATTTGCTTGTTTTGTACGATTTTGTAAATAATATGACTTGTATTTTGTTTTAATTCTCCAATTAGTACAGTACAATTCTATTTCGTGTAGTTGTGGTTGTATATTGTATATTTCATGTTGCTGTTGTTGGGTTAGGAGCACTCTTCCAGATTGTAACATCATCTACGAACTGTGAGCAAAAGTGAAGTTTGGGTCTTTGAGAGGCATGTAGCTGACACACGTGATAAACAGTGTAGGGCTAAGAGCTCCTCCTTGAGGGAGATACCCGCCTCCGGAGTGCAGCACTCGGAGTAGGTGCCCTCAACATTCACACTTATGCTCCTATCATCCAGGAAGCCAG